TCTATCGCGGCCTGGTGGCAATTACCCGCGCTTTTGTCCGACCTGACGTAGCAGCGGAATCGACTGCTCGGTATCAGGGAGCGGGCTTCGACGGGTCTACCGAGTTTTCCGAGTCCGAGCACGTAGCCCAGGGCCCTCTCGTGGAATATTAGCTTGGTAGCGGATTCGAGCCCGCATAGGGTCGAGCTTGCGAACGACAGACGTGCATACCGTATTAAGCCCGCGGGGACTTTGCCCGACTACATGCACGGCGCGTACCGAGCGCGCGTTGCTATACAGGGTATGTATATCGGAGACACTCGCGCGCAGTTCTTGCCAAGTGCGACCAGGCAGCAGCAGAGTCCAACCTCGGAAGAACGGCGATTACTTCAGTGTCGTCGAGAGATAGCCCTCGGGCATTATCGCAGCTGTGAAACGTTACCGTCGCGTATTAGGCTCATAATCTTAAAATTATCCGGGCTGAAAGGTTGATTAATAAGCTTGAAATTTCGCGACCGCGCGCTGGAATTAAAGCTTGCAAATTGCTAGGGGAAAAATACAAGTCCTCTTAATTTTTTCATAAACCGCGTGATATACTGCGTGTATACGTTTCGGCGGCGAGACGAAAGCACAAAACAAGCACGCGCGTGGACGTAAAATTGTCCGCGCGACGCTTCCGCGTATCGGTACGCGCTTGGCAAATACTTTGGTATTCATGAATCCTGGTATTCGCCCACGGGATATGTACGCTCGGTCTGCCACGAGGTTCGGTCGGGCCAGGCGGAAAACTCTGGACGTGGCCCTGCTCGAAAACCAATTCTTTTCCCGTCATACTAGCCCGCGATGTTTCAGCCAGGTATAATATAAATCTAAGATTTATCACGGGAAAAAGTATAGAAAAAAATAGTTAGATAAATTTGTGAAGGAAGAAGAGAAGAGGGATGAGATTTTAAGCGTCCGCCTTATTACCGCTCGTTTCTCAGATTGTTCGACGTTCGCGTCTTTTTTCCCCTCTCGCCAGGGTTGTGACGATTCCGCGGGAAATATGTAAAGCAAAACGTCGGCAATTTGCTCCGCTCTCTTTCCTCGCGGCGTTTCGCGACGTTGTCTTCGTTTGGGGAGATACATCCAGGGATCCCCCGGCGAGGAGACTTACGTACACCCACGTTGGATTTACGCGCGATATATTTGTTTTAAAGTCCCGGATTCCCGTGCTCCGCATCCGCCGCTCATCCCTTCGGCGGTACGACCTCGCCGTTCTCGACCCAGGCTCCGTCGTACCCCTCCTGCTGCTGTCCTTCCTCCTCGTCGGTGCTCCACTGCTGTTCCTCTTTCTCATATATTTATGAGGGCGGGATGGCAGCGAGGAGGGAACACACGCGCAGGAGTTATGGCCCGAATAAGTGCTCTCGACCTGGAACAGGGATTCTCAATGGTAGACGGAAGTAGTATTAGAATCTCGGAAAAAGTGAAGAAAGAAAGAAAAATAAGATAAAACCGAAAGAGAAAGATCTTGCGAACATTCGAGGATACGTAAGTGGAAATAGGAATGGCACTACGTGTACCCTCAGAAATAATGTCTCCTGTCCCCTTTCAATTTACGAAAAATAATAGGCCGGAACGTGTCGTCCAATTGTTTTTGGATATGTAAATCCTCGAGGGTTTACATGCGTTTTATTGCCGAACGTGACCGCCGAGATGGCAGACAATGAGGTGGTCTCGAAGTTGCACGTGATTCCGAGACCCCGTCTACCGAATTTGATCGCCTGTGTTTAATCCACCCGGTTGAACGTTCACGGGATCACGATAGGACTTCGCGATCGCCTTTGATGTCGATCGTCAGAGTACGAAGACCCGCCATTGTCAAGATTGTTGGCGAAGCTCATGCCGACGGGCGTAGGGGAACGGAAAAGGCGCCGCTAAGATATGGGCGAGGCTTCGCGACAGTTTCGGCGTTCATTAAGCGCGAAGAGACACCGGCACGCGCGAGATGAGGGGCGCCATTGAAAACCGACTTACACGAACCATGGCTTCGCTATGTCATTATTTCGAGCAACGGGAAACGTTACGAGAGGAAGAGTCGGGAAATTTATTGCGTTTCGCGTTGCGAGCTTCGCGAAGAATGTACGGCTGTGGAAAGCAGCTGGCGTCTCGCGCTCGTGCGAGCAAGCGAAGTAATATCGACAGTTGAATGGCCGTGAGCGGAAACGCCCTTACGTCGGAAACGCGTTTTTTGAGCTGTTCGAAGCGGGAGATCCGGCAACGAATCCTGAAATTCGGCGGAACGCGATCCAGTTGCTTACGCGATAGAAAAGTTTCTGACCAAATTATAGCCTGCGAGATTGATTTCATTTGATTAATTAACGAGATATTTGATTGCAAATTAAATTGCAAATAATGACTGCGTTAATGAAATTCGAGATGGTGGATAAAAACGGACCGCCTATATTTCTCTCGGATAAATGTAAAACTAATAGAAAACGCGCGATAATTGTCAAGTATTTTTCGAAATTATACTAGTATTTCTCGTACAATCGTGTCGTAGATGCGCACCTCAAGGAATATCTTTCTTATTACAAAGTGAAGTCGCAGAGAAAAGAAAAATTAAGTAGAAGCGACGTTGCCGGCCGTATTGTCGGCATTGGCCAATTACCTTCCTTTTCCGCTGCGCTCTTTCCTTATCACTCGAATTTTCTGTCTAACCGTAGATAGATGGGGATGGAGAAGATGGTACGGGGAGAGGGAGGCAGGCAGAGGAGGTCGCCAAGGGACAGGGAAATGGATGAGGAATAGAGTTCGCTCGCTTCGCCTCCCGTTTACTTGCCAGTACTTATTCGCTTTGCCGTCGAGCGTCGTCTCCTCATTCAGCCAAAGTCTAATTAAAGTGCAGCTGCAAGTTAAATTAAAACACGATAATGTTGCCGTGAGAGAG